CACACACAGACTTGAATGTTAATGTTCGTAACAACTTTATTCATAACAGCTTCCAAACTGAAAACAAACGTCCATTAGCTGGTGAAATGGATAAATAAAATGTCATTTATTCATACAGCAGAATACTATTCAGCAATAAAAAGAACAACATATTTATACATGCTACAATGTGAACCACAAAAACATACTAAATGAAAGAAGCCAGATGCCAAACCCCACATATTATAAGAATCCATTTATGTGAAACATCCAGGTAAATCATAGAGACAGAAAGTAGTTTAGCAGCTGCCTGGGGCTGGGCATGGGGACGGGGAGTGACTGCCAGTGGGGTCTTTCTGGGTGATGGAAACATTCTAAAACTGAGGTGTGGCATTGGTTGCAAGCACTGTAAATGTATTAAAAGTTATAAAATTATCCCCTTGAGTGAGAGAATTTTATGGTGTGTAAATATTTCTTCATAAAATGTTAATGATTAAACAAGTTTAAATGATCTTATAGTGGCTGGCACATGGTCCTCGATAAGTGGCAGTATTATTCACGGAGGACGTGTTTCATCTTCTGGGCTTGGACCTGTTGCCTCAGAGGGCGAGGATGGCAAGGAGTGCTACAGCCAGCACTTACGGAGTAGTGAGTTCTCACTGTGCTCCACACACCTTGCTAACCGCTCTGTGTACATTACCTCCCTCAGTCTTCCCAACAGTCCTCTGACACAGGTAGTATTATTATGCCTGTTCTACAGATAAAGAAATGGAAGCTTTGTTAAGGTCACAGGACCAAGGCATGGAGAACCCCATTAGCCTCCAACTAATTTAACTTATATTGAGAGCCTTTAAGACCTAAGAATTTCTAGTCAGGTCATGGGGCCCACCAGGTGGCTCTGAGCATCTCTTCATTCTATACTTGGCCCTGCTGAATCTTTCCCTGTTTGAAACCTTGATACAAATATTAGAGGTCACCTGGCAGTTCAGCTGTGTGATGAGACTGTTAGTTGCCATAACAGTAATTATCTGCCTGCCTGAGACTCATGTTCATCCTTGTTATAAGACTGTGACCTCTCTTGCCCCATGGTGGAGGATGGTGACATGAGCCACTTCTAAACATTGCCTGATTGACGTCTGTGACTGGGGCCACAGTTTCTACCTTACTTCTGCCCTGGGAGGTCCCTGGAGGTCAGGAAAACTTTTCCCCAGGGGTTTCCCTCAGCCAGAACTCAGTAAGCTTATGGTCCATTCACTCTTTTCCTTGGGCCACAGTGAAGCCTCACTGTAGGACAAAAGAGTTCGGAATGTTTTATTGCTCAGGATTTCGCTCCTGGCAATGCTGTATTCTGTGGGGCTCCAAGGGTTGGGCAGAGTTTCAGTTGCTAGTTGAGCTTTAAGTCTTTGGGCCCAAATCCGTATCACACTTTTACCACCTTGTTTTAGTCCTAAGATTCTTATGGTTTCATTGGCTCTAACCATTAAACACATGGCTAATGTTCTGTACTAGATTTCTATTAGATATTAGCTGAGGTCAAGTGTGAGTGAAAAATCTTCCCCATACCCACAAGCATTCAGACAAATTCACAGTTTGTGTACTTTTCTGCAGCTGACCATTTGATATATTTAGTATTTTGTCATTGTACCCTAAACTACCTCAAATTTCTCCTACTCTTTGTCTTTGCTAAAGGTATTCCCCATGTCTGGATTCAATCCACTGACTGATCACTAATCAGTTAGCCCCCATGGCCAGGCCCTGGGCTAGGTGCACAGGGGAGGCAATGAAGCCTAGGAATACGCCTCTCTTCTAGGAGATTTCAGACTGGTTGGAGGGACAGAAAGCACATATAGAAAGAGGAAATTACATTAACTGAGTTAACGGGATGGCGAGAGAATAATTCCACATCATTGTTACACTGCAATTGGTTCTAGATTACCTGTGTCAGATTAATCACGGGTGAGGTTTAGCAGGGACCTAGACAAGTGCATCTCCAGGGCAGGCCTCTCTAAGCAGGCAGTGGATGCTGAGTAGCTCTGATTGCTCTCCTGGGGTGGGAGCAGAGAGTCAGGGGCTGGGTCGGGCTGAGTCTCAGAGCAGTTCTGTCGACAGATAATCAAGACTTATCTCTCATTTTGTTTTAATTGAAATTTGGGGGTAATCTGTGAATTTCCAGCAGCTTTCCATCCCCCAAATTGGCTTAATTTCCACTCCAGTTCATATGCTCCTGGATAATTGAGAAGTGAAAGTATATATCTAAGCCTTTATGAGGCAAAAGTTGACTCAAAGCTCACTTCCCCTTTGCACTGACTTCCAGTGTTCAAATGGTGTGGGCTTTCTCTTGCTTCTCTCCTTATACTCCTTCCCTCACGTTTTAGCTAAATCATGTGCTAAACTGGCCTTTGTAATATGGGGGTCATAGCCATTGACATGGTTTCTGCATGAAAATGCATTCTGTGCAAATAACAGAGCAATCTGGTCCTCCTTCAGTTCCTCCCATGAGGATGTTGGGGCAACTGCTCCATGGAATGAATCCCTTTGGTCTGTGGAGGGAAGCCAGGGGAGTGGAATGTGGTGGACAGCGAGTGGGCCTTACTCCTCCCCTTCCAACGTTCAACCAGAGCTGCTTCATTTCAGTCTTGGTTATATGTTGGCCTTCAGCATATGAATTCCTTTGAATACCAAATCCTGTTGTTAGGCAAAAAACTACTGAAGACCACTCTTATAAGAAAGCTGGTATTAAGTGGTATCTAGTAATTTAAGAGAAGTTTGCTTATGAACTTGAAATAACAATCCAGAGAGGCAAATGTACTGTTAGTCCTGGACATCCCCTGCGTGCATGCCCTCTCGACTCTAAGTTCTGAGAACACTGTAGCCTAGAGCTTTATTTTACCACCCGACTTTCAACCTGTCTTAATCCCGAAGAGGATGAAGTGGCATTCAGATTTAGGGGATTACACAGGGACCAGAGGGAGAAGGGAGGGAATTTCAGGGGAAAAGGGGAAGGATTCACAGGAACAAGTATAAAGGACACACGGACAAAAACTAAGGGGGGGTGGAAATGGGAGGGAGGTGGAGAAGGCGAGGGGGGGTGGGCTGGGATGGGAGTAAAAGACAAAAAAACTGTACTTGAATAATAATTAAATTAAAAAATAAACAAAACAAAACAAAGTTATGTTATCTTTAAACTTTTGTACGAAGGTTTTAGACTTTTTAAACTTTCCCTAAATGTACTTTTTCTTCCTATCTTCTTAAAGTAACACTGAAAATTATTTTGTTTTCTTTGCATCCAGGTTAGAAATTATTAAATAATTTTAAAGGATTGTGATTTCTAGAATTTTTCTCTTGTGGGGCTTTTTTTGGGCACTAGAGGCGCTGTACTCCTCTGATGTTTTCGTCATGAACTAGCTTCTGCAGATCCAGCCTGGTTCGCCATCTGCTTGCTTCTCACAGCTGGAGCCAGGAATCAGGAGCCAGCCCACTCTGCCTTCTTTGCTCACCATGATTCTAGGAAGTTTCTCAACAGCTTCATTTCCAGGAGTAAGAACACGAGCCTTGCTGGCTTCACAGGCTTGTTCTGAAGTGAAATGAATTACAACGCTATGTGAAGGCACTCTGCGGAGATCAAGAGCTACACAAATCTACATGGTCAAGTCGCCCAGAGTGAATCGGACTCTGGGTTTCTCACACTGTCAGGATGGGCGGGGTTGGACGAAATGGCGGTTGAACTACAACCCTGAAAAGACGGCTGACGTCAAACCAGGGAGCTGAAAGGGCGGGCTTTATCTGCCTAGAAATTTGAGCCTGAGGAGAACCACCAATGATGTTTTGCCACTTTCTTCAAAGGGGACCAATCAATCCCCAGCTCCCGCTAAGAGAGCCAACCAAAATAAAACCGCGCCACATTCCCTGCTTGGGCACGACTTTCCGGCCCCACTCTGGGGACTGGAGAACCTCGCCGAGGTGCACAAACCCCAATAAAGCTCTGTACTGCCTAACTGTGTGGGTGATTGGCATTTCTTCCTTGGCGGAGCCTAAGAAGAAACCTTTCACACACGACAAGGACATTTGTTATTTAAAGGCATCTTGACATATTCTTTAGTCATTTGAGGCTGAATTTCTTTCAAGAGAAAAAGAAACAATAAAAATGGTGAGACTTACCTTCAGTAACTACATAGGGATTTTTCCACAATCTATTTATATAAACATCATTTATAAAGAAGAATAATGGGCTATCATGTGTGCATATTTGTAACTTGACTTTATTATTTACTCCCATGCTATTACTGCTCCACACAGATCTGGCACTTAAGTCCATAGAATTTTGCATTCTTTTATTAAAAACAGAGGTATCACAAAGGAGAAGGCAACAATAGCAATGCTTTATGTTTCACTTCTCTTGTTCATGTCCATGAAGTAATTGGTATTAACAGGAAAGCATTCATATTTTGCACATGTATTTTAAATGTGTAAACAGCACAGTCCATTGTACCAAAACAAAGAGATATTATAATGAATGCAGAAATAGTAAGCCTAGGTTTTTTTCCCAAAAGAGGTTGTAGAAGGTTTACATAGCTCAAAACACTGAATATTTTTTATTTTTAAAAATCCTTGAGTTTTCTAACTAGTACAACTGAGCTGCACTTGATTCATTAATATTTGGAGTACAGTACTTCCCTCATTTTGTGTTGTGATAGAGGAAATGGGTTTCAGGATACATGATTCAAGTGGAAAAAACTGCATATTTATTCTAAAATATTCACAGACTGAAAAAAAACTTTTGGAGTAGAGATGATTATTTTATAGTAACTCTACAGCCAAATAATTTATTATGTTAATGCAGAAATATAAAGAGCTTTTTCAAACAAAATACTTACTATTTTCTAGCTGCCTTACAGAAATGATTTACTCAAGAAAACAGAACAAAATTTCTTAGTGTCATTAATCAGCTTTGTAAATATTTTGCCAGAGCTTTTTTTTTTACCCTTGGGATGGGGGAAACAAATAAAAAAAAGTTTAAAAGCTCATATGTGCCTATTTTGTTTTAGCTTGGTGTATTTATTAAGAGTAAATTCTGTATGTCTTTGCAGCTCATCAATATGTGTGTTCAGAAGTTTCTCCAGTTCTTTTGCACGCCTCTCTTCCTCCAGAAGGAAATGCTGTGCAGCCAAGGAAGCTGGGAAGGACATGTCTGGGGGAGACTGAGGAAAAAAAGAGAAGTTAGGTGAGGATCACAAAGCTTTTTTAAACCTTCCTGTTTCCAGGCGTCCCTCATCCCTGACATACTGTCAAGTACTGCAACCCTTAAGGAAAGAATGTACCTCAAGCTGAATTCCCTCTACTGGTGCAATGCGGCCTCTAATGAAATCCTCAAGGAACTGAAACAGCACAGCTCCGTTACGTTAAAAAGCTCTAGAACTGATTATTACAGGGGCCAAACACATACGCAGGGAGAATGCAATTACCATGAAAGCTATCGAAAACATACTGCACCAATTTGCAAAGCCAATGATTTTCATCTGAAAATAGGCAACTCTGACACGCTAAAGTAAAGATTATAGTAGAATAGAGCAAAGAATGTTTATATAGGAAAAAATCAAGATTGGCTGTGAAAGGGGGCTAATTGCTGCTTGGAGTTAGTTGGGTCAGGAGGGCTGGCCCTGTGATCTATCTCAGGGGGAGGAGTGGCCTCTAGGCAGGGAGGCCCCTATGCTGGAAGGGATCTTGTTTGTCCAATTATCGCTGAGAGAGCTTCAGCAATGAGTGCTCAGTTCGACCCTTCATGTGATGAGGAAGTGCTCATTTAACTGACCTACTTTTCAGTGCTTACTTTTACACACACACACACACACGCAATCTGTGGCTGAGGAATAACAGGGAATATCAGATCATTTTATAGCACTTCACTCAAAACAATTTTTAAGTTTATTTAAAAATGTAAGTTGGGGAAATTTGTATTTAAGTTTCCTAGTTCTATGGTCCCTAGACACTGCTTCAGCTTTTGATTTTTAAGAAGAATGGGTTTGAAAAGTCAACAATTTGTATGCAGGTGAACTTTGTTATAGAGGGTCTAGTTCACAAGTCTGGCCTCTGCCCAAAGTGTATGGATCATGGCAGATGACAGTGGAGTGCTGCAAACTCACTGAAGCAGTAGCCCCAGCTGGCGCTGCTGTGCCAGCCACGGCATCTTTTCTAAAGTAGAATGTCACAGCTGTGGGTACATGGAATGCTGCTGTTGATCTGGCAAAGGTGCTCTTTTTAATACCGAGTAAGGAGTAGGGAAGAAGCAGTTAGCATTAACATGAGCAGACAGGAGTACATTCCATGTTTTTTGCCCCACATTGTGTCATGTTAATGAGGCTGTCACAATAAATTCTGAAGGAGCCTGGGTCATCTGGATATGCCAAGGACTCCAAACTATAGAACATCAATCATATATTAACATTAATATCACACTAAGATGAACACCCGGTGAACAAGAAGTGGCAAGACATGTGCTCCAGAGAGTGAAAGACAAAACCCATCAGTGATTCAGGGGCTCGACAAAGTGTGTTCAGGTGTCAGTGATGTGGACCATGTCAACATTATCTTCTCTTAAGCACAAATTAATGCACCTTGCATTTCTTATCACTATGAAAGAAGCATAAAACTTGATAGGTCTCTTCAGGTTTCATGTTTTGGAGGTAGCATGTTCTACTTTTGGGTAGAATAACCTGACTCATTTATTGGGGGACACAAACTGCTCTTTTTGTTGTTGTTGTTGGTTGTTGGTTTTTAGCAGGGCCCAGAGAAAAGAAGGGCTCTGCAGTAGGGTGGAAAAGGGGTACAAGCAGTCCTGTTACTGGGCCAAATCAAATGACTTACTAGAATAATCTTTGGCAGAGAAAGATGCCATGTGGAGCTTCTAGCAAGTCTCAATGGGAAAGTGGCATTGCAGACCCTTAAACTTCTGAAGCAGGACCACACTATCTATAGCAGAAAACTGTATCCTGTTTGCAGAACAGTTCCTGTCATGCTACTGAGCCCCAGTTGGGACAGAGCATTTCAGAATATGGACAGGGTGACTTGATCCAGCCTCTGTCCCTGGCCACGTCAGCAGACATTGTGCATGGGCCCAATGGGCAGTCTCCCTTTCACCAAAGTTAATCTAGCTGCTATTCCCATTGAATGTCTGATCTGCCTGTAGTAAAGACCAAGGCCATCTCTCAAGGAGACCCACCAGTGTCATCTCTTGGTGGTAATTAGATTACATCAGGTCCTTTCCATCTTGGAAAGGGCAATGTTTTATCCCTATCAGAACTGACATGTATTCTTCCTTTCCTGCCTTGGCCAACAGCACTACTGTTCACAGAGTGACTGATATACTGACATTAGACCTTAACTGATACTAAAGGAACCTATTTTCCAGCACAGGAGTAGGGGCATGACCATGGTATCCATGGGTCATACCATGTATAGCATCATCCAGAGGATGCTATCCCAATAGGCTTCCTGAAAGCACAGCTGAGGCATCAGCTTGGAAATTATATCCTGTGAGGACAGGGTGCCATCCTTCAGGATATGGTAGAGACTGTACACCAATTGCTGCTATCTGCCACTGTGTTTCTGATATGTGGAATACATGGATTGTGGAATACATGGATCTGGGAACACAAAGGAGGATGGAGGAATGGCTCAACTCTCTACCACTTCCATTGACCAACTTAGAGAATTTGTGCCTTCTGGCTCTGTACTTTTGGGCTTTGTTGGTCTACAGATCAAGGGTCTAGAGGGAGAATGCTTCCACCAGGAACCTGTAAGAGTCTCAGTGAATTTAAAGCTCTGATTGACACCCAGTCACTTTGGGCTTCTCATGCTGACAGATCAGAGGCACAGAAATGAGGTTCTATACCAGCAGAGGTAACCAACCCTAATCATTACTAAGAGGTAAGACTACTACTACATAATGGAGACAGTGAGAAATATGTTTGGTACTTATTTACTTACTTACTAGGTAATCCACTGAGGTGGTCTTTTGGCACTCTCATGCCTAGTTTTAACTGTAAATAGCAAACCACATCCTGATAAGGGTATGGGAACCAAAAGCTCACCCCAATGAGGCAAGCCACTTGGACCAACAGAAGTGCCTGCTGACGGGGAAGGGAATCTAGAATAGGTGAAGAGATGGTGAATATCAGTTAAGCCCTTGAGACCAACTACAGCATCAAGGGATGTGCCACTAACCCTCCTCTTATAAGCATTCCCAGAAATTTTGACCAGCCAGAATCTTGGAGAAGCTATGCCTGAAAGCAATGAACAAAATGAAAAGAATATAGATCCGAGTGATTCAAAAGGAGGACTGTAGTGAGGGCTGCTGGATCCCCTTCGCCAGACTGGTGCATCGCTCCTGCAGCAGCTGTGAGTGTTGGCTACTAATAGCTCACAGCTGGCCACTTCTCTGGAGACCTGCCCTCGGCTGAACAGAGCCTCCTGTTGCACCTGAGAAGTTGCAGTCCCTCCTGCAGCCTGTTTTCTCTCAGAGGCAAGACTGACAGACACAGGGACACAAAACACTAGCCTTCTTGTCCCCTCAGGGAACCAACTCTGTTGTGCAATCCATGCTCCAAGCTCCCGATGAGACCAGGCTGAACTAATCTCTAGCTCGGACCTCATCCATATTCAGCTTTCCTTCCCTCCTCTCACTCTTCTGCTGAGAACACTGCCTCAATAAATCCTCTCATAAGAGTCTCCATCTCAGATCCCAGGGAACCTGACTGACCTCAGACAGATTCTGGCTTGAGTAACTGGGTGACATCAATGCCATTTATTGAGAAATAAAAACAGCAAAGGGAGCCCAGTAAAGGTAAGGTCTTATTTATTTTGATTCCCTCAGGTTCTAGCACAGATTCTGAATATTTCATTAACTTGTGAACAAAATCTGCATTAGAGTTTGGATCAAGCTAAGCTAGAGGTAATTTGGGGCTCAGACTGTTCAGTAGAGAGTGGGATATGTCAGTCCAGATCTCAGAAGATAGGTCTGGATCAGGGATACACATTCGGAAATTATAATGAGTAAAGCCATAAGTACAATGGAAATCATCCAAGATGTGCAAATAGAAATTAAAAAATAGAATCCTGGGGAACATTTCATTTCAGGCACTCACTCCCATGGTCGTGTTCTTAACATTGTCACCAATGATAACTGCATTATTTGCTAATCAATATTTTAAGCAAATTACATGTTATCCTTCTGGCTTACTTAGTTTTAGCCTACTACGAACATCACACACAATGGTGAAATACTGGCAACTTTCCCTTTGCCATTGAGGGAAGGATGATGGCAATACCAGTGTTACTGCTCAGCAGTTACTGTAGGGTCTTGGTCCGTACAACAATGCAAGAATAAAATAGGTAAAAAGATTTGAAGGTACAAAAACAAATTGCCATTATTTTGATTCTGAATATAGAAAAATTCAAAAGAATCTTCAGGACTGGAATATATGTGCAAGTTCAAGTGAGTATTTCCATGGGGAAAAAGGATTGGGAATCCTACCTTATCCTATAGACAAAAATTAATTCCAGATGTAGATCTAAATATGAAAAGTAAACAGACAAAGTCTCCAGAAGAAAATATAGGATAATATTTTTATAATTCTGGGATAGGCAAAAGTTTAAGTAGGACACCTAAAATATTAACCATAAAGGAAAAGATTCATAAGTTTGAATATATTAAAATTGAGAACTATGGTCATCAAAAGATACCATTAAGTGAAGAGACAAGTAAGAGTGGAGGAAGATATCTGCAATACATATAATCAATAGGTTTATATCCCAAATATATAAAGAACTTGTGCAAATTAATAAGAATAAAGACAATCCAATAGAAACTTAGGCAAGAAAATTGAAGACACTTTACAGTAGAGTACCAAAGTAACCAATAAATATATGAAAAGATGCTCAACCTCATTAGTCACCAGAGAAATAGGAATTAAAACTGTAATTAAGAAGTAACTAATTACTGACCATAGAAGTTAAATTTAAAAGACCAATCACTACTAAGTGTTGAAAAAATATAGAACAAAGAAAACACACATTTCCTGCTGGGCTGTTAATTGGCTCAAATAGTTGGCAAAGCAGCTTGGCAGAACCTCCTAATGTGGACCTTATGCATATCCTATTACAAAGCAATTCTGCTCTTAGGTGTATACCCAATGGAAATTATACACATGTGCACCAAGAGACACATACAATGTTTTTAGCAGCATTATTGGTAATGGCCCCAAACAGGATATAAATGTCTGTCAACAGTATAATGGTAAAATTGTAGCATCATTCCATGTAGTACTTATATACCGTGGAACACTAAGGAGAAACTAAAATGGATAAACAACAGCTGCGTAAAACAATATGGATGATGAATCTCATCAGCAGCAGCGATGAGCAAACACAGCTGAAACAAAACAACACCCAGAGTATGATACTATTTATACAAAATTTACAAATGGCTACAACTCATTTATGATATTACAAGTCAGGATAGTGGTTACCTTGGGAGTGAGTTCAAGGAGTGACGGGAAGGGGATGTGAGGGGAGTTCTGGAGTGCTACAGCTGTTCTATGTATTACCTGGGTGGTAGTTGCATTGATGTGTTCCCTTCGTGGTAATTCATCAAACTGTCCAGTTCTGATTTGTGTGCAAGGACTTGTATGCACGTCAGAGCAATAGAAAAGGTTTTTTAAAACAGGCACAAAACATCACCCGTAGCTCTCTAAAATACAGAGATCCTTGCGGGCTTATGGAATGTCCAGGAGTGAGTCCCAAGCATGTGCACTTTTAAAAAGTCACTGAAATTCTGGCCTACACTAGAGGTGAATAACATTGATTGAAAAACTTCACGACACATCATGGATCTCTTTTTCTTCTGTAGGTAGGCATGGCCAAATGACTCAAGCACCAACATTTTTCTTTAACAACTATGTATACATCAGTATATTGGTTATCAGTGTAAGAGTAATCACCTCCAAAGAAAAAAATCCAGCAACTCACCAGCGGGAATACTTCTTCATCGCTAACCAGAGGACTTGTCATTTCTTTCATTTGAAGTGGTAAAGGTGGCCACGGAGGCGTTGTGCTCCCACTTGGCTCACAGTCTTGGTTGAGTCTGAAAGACAAGGAGTGGTTGTCAGCGTTGCTACCCAGGACACCTGTTCCTTCATGTAGCTAAGGATTTTAACTTCTCTGATGTCTAACTGGGGAAAACACATCAAATTTTTGGACTTCTTGTCTGGATATCTCTTCGGTAAAAAGGTGAAGGGATTAAGCAAAACAAAACAAAACAAAACAAAAAAAACCCGACTCATAGATGCAGACAACATTATGGTGATTAACAGAGGGACACAGGTCGGGGAGGAGTAGGAACAGGTGGGCACAGGCGGCGATGGAAAGAGATTGACTTGGGGCAGTGAACACACAATACAATATACAGACGATGTATTGTAGAATTGTACACTTGAAATCTATAGAATTGTATGAACCAATCTCATTCCAATAAATAAAAAAGAACTCCCAACCTGGAGTAGACAGTGGCAATGGGAGACAATGCAGGGCTAGGGAAGAGGTGTGGAACTGGAGGGAGGGGAGACAGAGGTAGGGAGACAGACAGCAAGTGATGGCAGATAGAAGGGAAGGGGCTGCCAAGATAGGGGGCCCAGTACAAATAAACAATGAAGGGCAATGAAAAAAATTTTTAAATGAAAAGGTATTTGTTTAAAATAATTTCTACTCTACCTAAAAGACTTAGAATGTTTAATCATAAAGCAGAAAACTTTGTACTGTAATTGTTAAAGATGTTCTGCTCTCTTTATGACTTACATTGCTCCCCTCTCTGTTTTACTTTTGTATCTCTGCCACTGAAATAACATGAAACCAGTTTGAGAAAAATCTCGAAACAGTGAGCAATGCTGCCTTCACAGTTCTGGATACTTGTTTTCTCTTTTTCTATTTCACTTAACCTCACTGTCTTTCTTGACAGAATTATACTTTTAAAAAATTCTAGAACAAGTTTTTGTATAATAATAATTCTCATTCCTATAGGAATTAATTTATAAGGCTTTCAATTTCCATCATCTCCTAAGCTCCTCCACACTGTCTGTTGACCTTGAGCAGGTGACTTTATCTTTCTATCTCTTGAGTGTTTTCACGTGTAAAGAAGTGTGTATGAGAATTGAACTCCACAACTCGTATGAAAGGCACAGTGCAGAGTTTGCTGTTTGTGCTAAATATAGGGTAGAAATCAGACTGAATAAAATGCCAGTGAGGTTTTAAATTTTGGCACGCTGACTAAACAAATGAGTGATAAAACCAAGAAACAAACCGACTGACCCTAAAATTTTACCCAGAAAGTCTCAACAGCATGGGCTGTGTGGGTCTGAATATTTTTTGAGCATTAAACTATGAAAATGGGGTTTAAACTGAATAAAAATCATCAAGGACCATGGAAACATAAAAGTCTCTTTAATTTAAAATTATTTATTGTTACTACTCATTCAAACTCTCTGCAGGTATTGATTAACCATTTTCAACATCATCATGTTTTAATCTCACACAGTTCAAAAACTTTACATTATTTCTCTCTTTTTATCCAAAGACTATCTACATATACTTGTTTCTCATTATGCAAAGATTTTCTAAGCTATGCATACAAACAGCAATAAAAGTTGAGTGAGGCATCTGTAAATGAGTCTGTAAAAACAAATGTGATGTGTGTTCCATTTTTACTTATCTTGAAATATATCTTTTTTTGAATTCATTCTCCCAAACCATAATTACCATGGAAACAAAACAACAAATTAAGCTGAAATAACATGGTTTGTGATATGCACAATCAGATGAAACATCCTTCAATCAAACACAATTATAACGATTGCACAGTATGCACATCTATGTAGAATCTTCTGTTGAAATTTGAGCGAGGCAACCATCTATACTTCAAAGCACAGTGGCAAAAGTAAGATAATTATAGAAGTGATTCAAGAAATATATATGTCTTTCTGTAATCTCAAGTATACAGATATTTCGGGAAAAGTATTTTTTTGTCCTAAATTATCTAAATAATTATCTCAATTACCCATTTTCCTTTGGATGTAGAGAAATAGTTTTATGGTGTTATTTACTAAAATTTATATAAGAACATTCTTTTTATGGCAAGATCAATAAAATGTAGAGACTGAAAGGAAAGACTGCATTATGAAGTAAAGTACTTTTGCTTTAAATCATCTTTATATCTGACACATCCTTCTTCTAGGATACAGCTATTCACGTACTTCATAAAACCACCTTGCATAAAATGCTAAGTATATCAATTTAAAAGCCATCTGAAAAATTATTTCAGGAGGCTTTTAATATCCTCTCATTAGCTAGTATGTTCAGTTATCTTTTTCATGGGCACTACTCCAAGGCCTCTGTCTATTTTTGTCAGCAGGGCAGGATCTGATCACTCTGTTGGGGAGAACTGTACCCACTTGAGATTTGAGTCAACTCTTGGCACAGTTTTCAGAGCAGTTTGACTGTCGTCCATCCAGTCCTGGCCCTCCATGAATTCTCCCCACACTGCAGGACAATGTCCTCAGCAAGGAGCAGGAGCCCTTCCCAACTATGCTAATTTACTTGCTTCTGGCCTCACCTTCTAGCACTCCACATAATGCTCCCAGTTCTATAGACTCCTTATTATCTCCTGGCCTAGAATTATTCAGCCTGCTGTTTCGCTCCTTATGAGAAACACCATGGTGCAAATTTTTCTCAACTTACTTCACTTCTTAGTTGACTTCTTGATAAGGGATCCTGTGAGAGTGATCATGACAAACTTGCTGACTATGTGTCTCCACATCCATGATTCTGTCCCTGTTCTTCTTGTTTGCTTAGTTTGTGGAGTTTTTTAGATTCAATTGTTGATAGATATGTATATATTGCCATTTTATTGTTCCTACTTTTGACATTCCTCTTTTTCTCAAATAAATTCCTTTAAAATTTCATATAATAATGGTTTGGTGATGGTGAACTCTTTTAGTTTTTTCTTGTCTGAGAAGCTCTTTATCTGCCCTTTGATTCTAAATGATGTCTTTGCTGTGTAGAGCAATCTTGGCTGTACCTCCTCAGTTTTCATGACTTCAAATATTTCTTTCCAATTCCTTCTAGCCTGGAAAGTTTATTTTGAGAAAGCAGCTGACTAACTGCTTTTTTTTTGTTGCTTTTAAGATTCTTTATCTTTAACATTTGGCATGTTAATTATGATGTATCTTGGAGTGGGCCTCTTTGTATCCATCTTGTTTGGGACTCTCTGTGCTTCCTGGACTTACATGACTATGTCTTTCACCAAATTAGGGAAGATTTCCTTCATTTTTTCAAATAGATTCCCAATTTCTGTTTTTTTTTTCTCCTTCTAGTCACCCTATTATGTGAATGTTGGACCTCTTGAAGTTGTTCCAGAGGCTGCTTATACTATCTTCATGTTCTTGGATTCTTTTTCCTTCTTGTTCTGGTTGGTTTGTTTTTTTTTTTTTTGCTTCCTTATGTTCCAAATCATTGGTTTGATTCTCAGCTTCATCCACTCAACAGTTTTTTTCCCTATGAATTTTTCTTTATTTTAATTAGTGTATCCTTTGTTTCTGTCTGGATCTTTTTTTATGCTGTTGAGGTCCTCACTACATTGAGTATCCTTATAATCAGTGTTTTGAACTCTGCAACTGATGGATTGCTAATTGTCATTTCATTTAGCTCTTTTTTTGGAGTTTTTAATCAGTTCTTTCATTTAGGCTATGTTTCTTTGTCTTCTCGTTTTGGCAGTCTCCCTGTGTTTGTTTCTGTGTATTAGGTAGAGCTGCTTTAACTCTGTGTCTTGGTAGTGTGGCCTAATGTAGTAGATGTCCTGTAGGTTCCAGTGGCACATTCTCCCCTATCACCCAAGCTGGGTACTCAAAGTGCAGCTTCTGTGGTGGTGAGTATATTCCTCTTGTAGCTGAGCATTGTTGGCTGGTGAATGGGAGTGATTAACTCAGACCAGTCAGCTACAAGGACTGGCTGTGACCACAGACCACCAACCCCTGCCCTCTGTGGAGGATCAGCTGTGCAGGGGCAGGGTGGTGGTGCTCTGATGTGGTCTGGAGCTGTCCACTGGGTGCACAGGCTCTGGGGTTTCCTGGGTGGTGCAAGCCATGTTCAGCCCCTAACTATGTGTTGCTTGGGGCCACCCTGCATGAGCTACAAAGCAGTCTCCGGATGGCTGGGCTTGCAGGTTCCCAGGTGAAGCCAAACGGTGATCCAAAGCTGGCTGCCGGAGCCACTTAGCCAGACGAGTCAAGATCAGCCATTCATATGGAAAAGCCACTGTTAACAGTTAAGTTGGGTGGGTCAGAGCCTCTGAGTATATTGAGGGCAGGACAAACAGTGTTAGCCAGGTTGATGGAGGCTTAGATGTGGCACCCACCCACCTATCTGATGCTCTGTGAGGGGAGGGCTCAGAAAAGGTACAGTGGCCTTTGCCCTCATTTCTGTCTGGTAGAAAGCTGTCCCCCAGTGCTGCACTGATGCCAGAAACTTCACTTCCTCCTTGTATGCCATTGGTACCCTGCAAGCTGCTATCCTGGTGCTGAGCTCAGAGGGAATAAGTCTGAGTATACACATGTGTGGGTTCTTTAAGAGGAACTGCTTGGCACACCAGAAGTTTCTTCCACTGATTCAATCCCCACCTTTTTTTTTTTTTTAGCCAGAAGTTATGGGGACTTATCTTCCTGGCCTGAAATCCTGAGCTGGGGGGCCCCGGTGTGGTGGTGGGACTCTTCACTCCCGAGGTTCCCCTCCCGAATTTTTATCCACCATATGTGGTTGTGGGACCAGCTCATTCTGCATCTCCACATCTCTGCCCCTCATACCAGTTTGGGTGGATGTGGTCTCTTTAATTTCTGTAGTTGTCAGATTTCCATTCAACTTAGTTTCTGATGGTTCTGAGTGATGGTTGTTCTATAGTTTAGTTGTAATTTTGAAGTGGTTGTGTGAGGGGGCAAGCCTTGTTTATCTACACCTCCATCCTGACCAGGAGAGATGCAAATTGTGTTTAATTAAAAGCAAGACCCTGCTGAAGATTAGATTACAGGCTTTAACATTTTGTGGCACATTATCTTCCTGTATTTTGACCTAAAATCTTTTTCCCTTCTCAAATAGTTTAATAAGAGCTTTTTGCATTAGCCACTGATATGTAAATACAACATGTATTTTTAGATTATTTATGTCTAACAAATACATATGTAGCTTTCACTATTTGAGTTTGCTGAGCTGTGTTGTGAGAAAAAAAGAATATTTCACTTTTCACTTGCTAAACTTAATGGCTATGTACTTTACAGTTCTCTGTGGTGAGTGCACAGTGCTCTTGCATCTGAACAACTCTTTCCCCACAGTGGCTTTTCCGCAGCAATAATTTATTCAGAACATTTGAAGTGCTGTTTCTCTTAAAAAACCAGGTCACTGGAGAACACTGAAATCAGACAAGGCATTAAAACAAATTTAATGAAACCTCCAACAAATGAGAGTGGCAGGACACAGGCTTTGCAGCAGGAATACTAGTCCACACTGCTTGTTAAGATGATCTCCTGCTGAGCATTTTCCCTCTTATGCTGCTTTCTGGGTCCCTGGCTACCTTGTTTTTGTCAGGCACTTCTGACACATTCTGTACTTCCTGACAAAGGGAAGAAAGGGGGCAATCGGAACAATACAATTCTTTAATAAAAATAAAAGGCAGAATAACTGTGTTTTGCTTAAATAACAACACCTGGTTGCCTTCATCTAAGGCTTTCAAAGTTATTTCCAACAAGCAGGGATAAAAATTAAGGTTCTGCACCTAATGGGTGCTCTATACAGACCGAAGACTAACTAGCATTCCTAGGCAGACCCTTTGTAATATCTTTAGAGGGTCCCCTTTCTCTTACAATGAAAACACTATAGCCATGGGGTCACGATTTGACCCATGGAGAAATGAATCCACAGAGTAGGGAAGCACTTTGTAAAGGGTTTATTCTCTATTAGAAAATATATTCTTACATCTAAATCAAAATTAGACCCCTTTAGAAAGATTTTCAGTTATAGTGGCCAGTTAACATGGGCACATTCACCAGAGAACTGGCCCATGGCTTTCTCAGTGACCTCTTCCGTCCTCCCATATTGCTTCCCCCGGCCCAGCATACCACAGCACCCCACCAACAGTGGTGTTTTGGGGTAGCAACTAGTCTTCCCTCATCTCCTTTTTTAACCACTTGAAGAGGGGTAATTAATTTAGCATTTTTGAGTGGCTGCTGTTTCTTGCATCAGATTAGGATTAGGGTAGGATATACCCTAATACATGTATGTGTTAGGGTAGGATATACGTAGGTAGGACATGTAGGACATACCCTAATACAATACAGAGTGGTGAAAGTAGGAGAGCTATAACTACACCCACAAGAATGCTGAAAAGGCGCATTTTTAAAGTCTGTCCCTTGGATTTTGGGATTTACGTACCTGAAAACGGGGCATGCTTAGTTACAAGGATGAGCTTGGCATGGCCCCTCCCTCACAGGACTATTGTTGAGGAAATGTCAGATTCATCTATTTATATATCCATCAAAACCTACTTTTTAGGCATGTGAGTTGTGGCAGAAGTATTAATACTATAAAAAACACCAGCGATTTTGTTAGTAATGATAATCGTAAAGGCTAAAATATATGGAACTGCTCTAGTTGTTTCCCATGAAACTCTACATTTTCTCCTATAAACCTCACAAAAGCCTTAAAAGTATTATCCTTATGTGTCAGTTGGGAAACTGAAGTGTACAAAGGTTAGGTAAATTTCCTGAGAATATAAATATTATTTTGTATGAAAACAGCATTTTCATGCTAAGTATGCTAAGCTTCTGAGCAAAAGTTGCATTGAAGTTGGGCCTGGACCTATTAATTCACCATTTCTCAGCACCATGGAATGTGAATAAATCTGTTACACAACATCCCCCTTCTTGAAAACTCACAATGTACATTAGCAAAATAATGCCTGAGAGATCCTGTAGAAAAGAAACTTGTTTATGTTACTGAGCATTTTCCAATTTTAGAAAAACACTGAAAGCCTCCAGAGAAGGTTTTGACTCCATAAGTATTTTATTAAAGTTGAATAAATTAGTCTAATTTAGTGGTTATGTTTACTTAAATTTTGAACTAAGACATTTTTAAAGAGCATGGGGATAATCTAGACAGCAGATAATGATTTTCCATATGCTTCTCTTCGCTCAGAGAAAACCTTTCTTACAATCCATTCTTCCCCTATGAATACCTAGTGGTGTTTTGCTAATGCTGGTGTCAATATAAAGTGTACTGTGGTTAAGTCAGAAGTGAGCATGGAGTTCCTAGGTTTTCTATTTTGTTTGAATAATATATGTAACATTAAAATCTAGTTTCCTACTCCTATGACATAAAAAATAAGATTATATATTTGTATACTTTGTACACCACATTAGCTACTAAGAAGTCTGAAGTGATGAAAATTTACCACCCTACTCATTTCACTAGTATAATTTGAAAGCTATTAACAACCCAGAAGTTCATAGAAAACAATGTATCTATACTACTCTATTAGCACTACCAAATAAAATTTAAACTGAAGAGAAAATGTGTAAAGTTATAATTTGAATAGTTTAAAAATTAATTTCAATTAAATGTTTATACATTTATATATGTAATGGAGTCAACGTACCTGCGTTCATTTTTTCCCATTTTTATTTTGTTTTGATAGGCATACTGTCCTGGTTCTTCGTAGGTCTTGTGATTACCCCATGCTGATTTTCCATTGGCATGAAGTTTTGCAAGATCACTTCGGAGCCTTTCATTTTCATACTCCAATTTGTTAACAGAGGTGTGCCTTGAGTGTTCCCTGTTAGTGCAGTCCATGCTCTGGAGAATAAAATACACCTTCACTGAAAATTTGTTCCTCGTAAGTGATGCATATTTTCTGTGCCTTTGGATCCTTGTCTTGGAAAGGCCCTTTCATTTGCATCAACTGACGTGGCTCTACTCTTGTGTACTTTCTAAATGCCATTTCCCACCCTCACCTCCTCAGGACACCGATACTCGGTGACAGCTGCCGCTGAACACACTGCAATACAAGCGATACACACACTGTTGTTCACGTTCCATACAGAAAAAGGCTCACGCATGCCCAGCATTCTTTGTATAACCAACTCTAGAAGTTGGTTATATTTAAGAGTTTTGGGGTTTATAGGGCATGCCTTCTAGTGTTGATTAATAGTGGAACCAGAATTAACATAGGTTTCAATTTGAAATAATCTTTTTCTGATTGAAATAATACATGTCATTATGGAAAATCCTGTATTGATTCTCCACTGTTGGTGATGTGACCAATTCTATACTAAGTCCATACCTTCTGGACCGTCCTAAAACAATGATCTAACAGTTAAGGCTGTGCTAGTTTGGAGCAACATAGTTTCATGATAAAATTGTACTAACTGGTATGGGCCACCCAATTTTAACATGTCTCCAGCAGAGAATAAGAAACACATTTAAAGCACAAAATGAGAGGCTTAGAGCAAGAATTAAAGATTTCTGGTGCTTTTTGAGTTAAATGCTATGAGAAGTTTCCTAGGGAGAGTTTAAACTTCTCATGACATTTTAACAAAACTTATATTCTCACATGAAAATGCTTTATGTGACTCTGCATAGTCCTTTGCAGTCCTATGATTTGAATACTTGTGAATTGTGTAGTTGTTGATGGAACAACAGTTCTCTATTGTCAGAAGGATAATACACGTAGTTTAGCACAAAAAAACATACTGTGTATGAAATAACTTTTTTGAAGACCCAAATTTCTATGATTAAAAGCCTGGAAGACCATAGATGTATATGGCCTAGAACTTCCATTGTGAAGTTTCTAAATTTAAGGCTTTCGGTGTCATTTCGGGGCATTACATCTTAGTTATTAGACTTCAGTACACATTAGGTATTAAAACATTTACTTATTTGTTTTACTTTTTGTTTCAAAGGATAAGTCTTCATACTACATTGTTTGTTCACTGCCCAGTGTATTACAGAAGTTTATAAATCTTTAGAAAGATCTCACTTTTGAGTGAAAGACTCCAGGAGGGCAAACTTCCTCGAAATAACACAGAAAGGGTTATATGCCTATATGTCTCTTGACTACAGTGCCCTTTGGAAAAGAAGGGCCATTGAAGGTATTTCTCCACTTGTTAAGTCCCTGGCTGTATGTAGTATGTCTCAACAGTTGCTCGTCTGAGATACACCAGTGCAGATAAGAGTAATCTGAGTCTGCTTTTAGAGAAAAAGGATTGTTTGTTCTAAAATTAGATTTTTGATACATATTAAGGAGGCAGAGTCTTAACAGAATTTTGCCCTTCTTAGGAAAATACTCATACGAGCAGATCTAGTTGGAAAAATTCATGGATTCAGAATTGTACTTCCCCAAAGATACCTGCTGTTCCAAATGTATAATTTCTTGATAGTCTGCTGCTCAATTACATTTCACTCAAGCTTTTTCTTAGATGTTATCTGTAACTCTTTTTGGCCCAGTGTTAAAGTAATTAAGAATAATAGTAATGATTTACTTAAAAGCTTTTATTTATTTAAAAGTAATGATTTATTTACTTTTCTAAATGTACCATAATAAAATAAGTGTTGTGAGCATGACCTGGAAGCATTACACAGCTAATACATTTACATGATTTATATTTATAAGCATATTCCATTTTCCTCGACAACAATATTTTTTGAGCTCTCTCATTTGATGTTTTTTTTTAAAATACTTCTCAAGCAATATCAGGAATATATCCTCTGCTAGATAGTTATCATGTTGAAAGTAGACATTGATTAAATTCTGCCTCTGTATTTCTGACGGGTTATTTTATAGGCCTGTTAGCTCAATTTCTTTTTATTTCTTTAAAATTTTAAGGTTCCATAGTTTTAATCCATTCTTTTATTCCTAAAATGGCAAAACCTCCGGTGCCTATTTACCTGCACATACTAGGATTAGACCAGTTGAATTAATGGAGTGTCTGAATAGCAGTATTTTGTATGTGCACTTACTCTTTTAAATTCATGTATATTCAACCATAATGCTTGTGCTAACAAAGTATTTCTACAGGACTGGCTTTAATCATGCCTTACGGTTAGTATGCTGATTTTCAGTGTGTAAATGGATGTTTTAGATAATTGTGAGGATACTAATTTTTATGCTATTATTTTATTTAGCAAACTTTATAGTAAAAGGCAAATTAGTCTTTTAAATCACCATAAATTCTGAGATCTGATTAAATCTAATTTGATGCCACTTTCTTTAAATGAAAGAAAATTTAATAAATATAAATACAGGTCTAAGTAAATATGAATTATACAAATTATCATGATAGACTGAATTCTTTGTGAGCTCTCCAGGAGCAGAATAAAGATAAACCCCTCACTTTTTGCCATGCAATTGAATTTTTGCACAAATCTAAGGAAAACATATTTTTCAGAGCTAAGAACCTCTTTCCAGCACTATTACTAGTGTGAAAATCTCACTGAGATGTGAGGAACTCACATACCAGGCAGTCAGTCCCGTCAGTGTGCCCTTTGAAGGACAACAGGAGCTGCCCCAGCGCCCCACACTGCATCACTGGATAATGCTGCGTTCAGGGCTGCGTGGCTGCCCCTGCTGTGTGCGTTTTAACACTGTCTTTTCCTGAGTATCAGTCAGCAGGGAGCCTCAGTCAGCGGAGCAGACTAGCCCTTAAAGCGCTAACTATTTAGAAATAGTGCTTACCTTACTATCAGTGACTTCACTTATCTAGAAAGAAAAAAAAATTGTTATTTTAATGTTATATAAATACCACGTATTTTAGAAGACCTAACAATAATGATGTAAATATTTTGTTTCTTCTCCCCCGAGGTAAAATTTTAGCACCAGTAACTTAATTCCGTATTTCCTCATCCAAATACTTCAGAAGGCAGTAACTAATTATCTAGCTATGTAATAAATTAATAAACACATGAGATAGAGTTTTCTTCAGGAAATCTTTAAACTGAGTCCTAAATAAGTGACATAACAGATTGTAAACTTTCAAAGAGCATAGAATTATACTAAAGTCTTTTTAAATTTAATAGACGTGCAATTTTTCTCTTTGGGGAGTGCTTTGACTATTTCAATTATCAAAGTCAATTTTAAATCTTCATACAAAAAATGGAGCAGTTATAAAGTAAACTTCCAATACGAATTATAATCATACATAAAATATATATAACTAAATCTTATTTCAGTAAGTATCACATTGAAGGCCATATCTTAATGGTATTCCATTTTATGTATCTAATTACCCAATCTCTAAACAAATGTACATTATATATATATGTTCTAAGTGCTACAGAGGTAATCAAATATGAACAAGAGATCTTTCCTTCATGAAAATACAATAAACAGTAGATTAGAGCTTCTGGCCAAGATGGAGGCATAGGGAGATACATATTGCTTCCTCCCACAAACAAAGGAAGGACAACAACCAATTTAAAAACAGATAACAATCAGAACTGCCAGAAAATCAAACTGTATGGAAGTCCAACAACCAAGGAGTTAAAGAAAAAACACTTATCCTTCCCTGGCTGGTGTAGCTCAGTGGATTGAGTGCAGGCCTACGAACCACACAATCGCAGTTCGATTCCCAGTCAAGGCACATGCCTGGGTTGCAGGCCAGTTCCCAGCAGGGGACCCATGAGTGGCAACCATATTGATATTTCTCTCCCTCTCTCCTTCCCTTCCCCTCTAAAGATAAATAAGTAAATCTTAAAAACCACTTATCCAGACTATCAAAGAAAAACCACTTATCCAGACTATCAGGAAGGGCGGAGACAAGCAGCTGGGGCGGAGAGGATGTGTGGCAAGGCATTGGCTGGTGGACCAGGTGGTCCCACACGCAGATAAACTGGAAGGAAACAACAGGGGAGCAAAACAGACCATGCAACCCAGGGTTCCAGTGTAGGAAATAAAGCCTCAAAACCTCTGGCTATAAAAACGTGTGGGCATTGAGGTGGTGGGGAAAACTCCCAGCTTCACAGGAGAGTCCGTTGGAAGGACCCATAGGATCCTAGAATGTACACAAGCTCACCCACCTATGAATCAACACCAGAAGGGCTCAATTTGCTTGTGGATAGTGGAGGAAGTGACTGAAAGTCAGCCGAGAGCCAAGTAAGCAGCTTTGTTTACTCTCTGTCCCCTCAATCACATATAGTGCCACAAACCAGTGAAGTGGGTTACCTTGCCCTGTTGAATACCTGGGGCTCTGCCCCTTGCAATGTAGCAGGTGTGCCGAGACAAAGAAAATATGGCCCAAATGAAAGAACAGAACAAATTCCAGAAAAAGAACTAAGTGATGAGGAGATAGCCAGGCTATCAGATACAAAGTTCGAACCACTGAAAATCAGGATGCTCACAGAAATGATTGAGTAGGGATGCAAAATAGAGGAAGAAGTGAAGGCTATACAGAATGAAATAAAGGAAAATTACAGGGAACCAATAGTTAAGGGAAGGAAACTGGGACTCAAATGAAGGATTTGGAACAGAAGGAAGAAATAAACATTCAACCAGAACAGAATGAAGAAACAAGAATTCAAAAAAATGAGGAGAGGCTTAGGAACCTCTCGGACAACTTTAAATGTACCAACATCTGAGCCAGAAGGAGAAGAGAAGGAGCATGAAATTGAACACTTTTGTGAACAAATAATGAAGGAGAACTCCCTCAATTTGGCAAAGGAAATAGACATCCAGGAGTCCAGCAAGCTCAGAGAGTCCCAAAGAAGTTGGACTCAAGGAAGCACACACCAAGGCACATCATAATTAAACTACCCACGGGGAGTCTGGGGAAAAAATAATTACACTACCCAAGATTAAAGAT